GAGCCAGACTATTAAGCCAGGGCTGGTACTGCTACTACCACTACTGCTATTTTAATACTACTAACTAGGGTGTAGCTAAGTGATACTATTTTTTGGTCCTATTACTGACTGTTTTGTAAGTCAGAAGTGACACTGATTAAAGTCCGCACTGGGCTCAGATCCCCTCAATCTCAACAAGAAGTGTAGTAGTGCTAGCACTGGTGCCACCATGTGGGTATTAACGAATGTACTAGGGAGAGGAGGAGTATCCAAGAGGAGCGAGAATTATTTCCTGTAGAGAATTCTTGAAAGCTAATCTTAAATTTCAGACCAAAGGCAGCCTGACAAGAACGCGTCATTCGACAAGATGATCCTGATTTTTGTTCAGTGTAGGCGGTTTTGGGAGCCTGTCTAGGTGTGTGAATGTATGCGAGTGGGTACCCAAAAACAAGAGTTATTTTTTGTAGACAACTGGGTTGGCAGTGCTGCCCTCGCACAATACTAGACACTTTCTGCTCACTTGATGAACCTTCATTGACCGCTAACGGAGTTCACTTGTCCCGTTTTGTCGTGGGTCTCATTTTCCAGGTCCTGACAACAGCTAGTAGTATAGGCAGATATTATTGCCGGCAAAGACAAGGGAAAGGACTGGAATGGCCATTTCGGGTTTGTTAGCCGTCGTGAGCTACTCATAGGCAACTCCGAGTGGTGAACCACTCGAGGCTAGAACCTGGCGACTGTTTGATCAGAGTCTAATGCCCTAAGCATTGAGCCACGAGCTCGTCGTCTTGCCGGTTTAGGTCGGGAGATATTGACACTAATTGATGAACGTTAACTGACCGCTAACGAAACTCACATGTCCTGCTGCGCCTTTGTCTTGGGCCTCCTCCTTCGTCGTCGTCTATACTTCCAGTTGCATTGTCTTCAAGCTTCCATTTTAACGGATGGTGGGCATAGAATCGAAGTTAAATTGCGCTGGCTGAAATCCTGCGATTGTGCCGCCTATTTTCTTTGTGTTAAATTCAGATAATATATTTCATTTAGCAAAGCAAAAACCATTTGCTGCCTGCCTAGAAAGCGGGTGTTTGTTCCTTGTGTGAACTCTGGCATAATGATTCTGCAGACTGACGTTGTTCGCTGTATAATTTTGCTCAAAAAATCTGTCTTTGCTATGCAAAATCTTGGTCAAATGTTGGCCGTAACCAAATAGGCAAAAGTAGCTTATGTAGTCCCACTCATACACCCCTAGTCCCAGCATTTGTCCAACGAAAACGGTGTTTATGGGGTTTCGGGGGGTGGGAAATAGGACAGGCAGAGAAGGAATTTTTTTAGAAGTATGTGTTAAGTGAAAAGATGTAGTCGAAGTTGTTCCGCATGTAATTTCAAGGTGTGTGCGGCGCTTCGCGTCGCGGGCTATACTAATCTAACTCCAGAACGTTAAGTTGGACCTCTGGTAAGTTTAAGTAGACGACCTCCTAACTACCATTTCTATTTTTCGGGAATTTCAAGAAACTTGCAATTTTATAATCGGGTTTTCCGCAATACGTTAAAAGATAATACAGATTAGGAAAATCTACACATATAAATCAGCAACACTTCCAAATACAATAAAACAAAAATGCATATGGCAGTTATGAAAGTATATTTCACTGCGTATCCTAATTCCGAACCCTCAAAACCCTATAAACACCGTTTTTGTAGGACACATGCTGGAAAGGGGGATTAATGAGTGGGACTATATAAGCTACTTTTGCCCCAAATAGTATATGATGAGGTGCAGTAGCAGGCAAGTCCACGCTATGGGAGGAGGATCCCCCGCCGTTTCCTCTGTCGTCTTGGTGTTGTGTTAGCATCCTGTGTTGAACCATGAAGGGTGGTGGTCCTCTATGTGCCAGCCACCTGCGTCCTCTCCTATCCGGGTCTTTTGATTCTATCATGACACCGGGTCTAAGTAGAAGGGGAGCAGGGAGTTTGGTAGATCCGATGCAAATCTAATCCACGCGCAAGTTAGCGCCAACGCTCCCGACCTGCCGTGAAGCACGCGGTGGACATTGTACAAAAAAGTAGTATATTGTGGGTAAAACCACACGCTCATGTTCACTTTGCATGACTGCCTACTTGCTTCGTAGTAGGAAGCATGCTACTGCTCTCTGATGACGAATCCGCGACGGATCTCGAAACCTCAGGCGAATAAAAGTATTGACCCAGCGATCGAGTCGTCTTCTTCTCAATGCATTTCTTTATTACTCTGCCTGTTTAGTTCGTAATTGTCGCATGCTTTTCGTTGCTATATACCTGCCTTTATCGAATATTTTCTAGTGTTGTATGCTGTTTTTCAGCACGACGCACTGCTCCCGGTTATGTCTTACCAAGAAAACCCCCATTACCACAGGTCCCGTGTTGCAGAATAGTGGGGCTGTTCGTTTTGTCGTGTTACTTATAATATATTGTTACCAAGTTGCCATGTTTACCGAGTGCGCTTCACGAGTGTGATCGAAAAGAAACACATTCACAAGCCTGTATGCCGGGATTATGAAGTATGCTACTAATTCTTACAACGTCTTAATATTGAACAAATAAATCGTAACTTCTTGGAGGTCAGTCTTCTGGAGACAGTCCATGACACTGAGTGAAGGGGAAAGCCAGGTGTTAAAAAGACATCTCCTATCCAACGAGACATCCACCGGCCTTTAGTTTGCTCTGTCACTAGCACACTCTAAATCGGGTATTGGACTGGATTGGCCACACAGACTTTCCATCAACCCTGATTCCGAAATCTCTCCAAACCAATGTTAGGTCAGGTCAGGTTTCACTAGGGAAATATATGTAGGTAAATACCTTTGAACTCCCTCTTTGTACAGAGCTGTGATGCAGAACATGTGGCGTTGCCAGTAATGGA